TGATAGAGGTAGGTGTTATCTCCTTACCACCATTGGCTCTAGGGTTATTGGTGCAACATTTGAAGTTGGTTTTGCTGGATGCTCTGTATGAACTGTTGTATGGTATCAAGTGGTTGAATTATGTATTTTCTGCTTTCTTCTAGCTGCATTGCTCCGTACTTTCAGCTTTTTGGGCTTTGAGATTGTGAGACCAGGGCATCCCCTTGTCCCCAAGAGACCAGATGCTTGCTTCATGGCCTACACGTTTGAGAGAGACTCATCAGAAGAAGAATAGATTGCAATGTTTGCCTCTTAGAGCTTTCTTGTTGTCTATAAAGATGATTCTGTAGAAATTTTGTCAACATCTATTACAGTATATATAACTGTTTGTACAAAACGTTGTGACCAACTGCTCTGGTGGTGAGATGTTGAAAATTTCAGACTCCACATCTTTTTCTGGATTTGTGCGCATGTTGTGGTTGTGCAAATAAATGCTCCCTCCAAATTAGCAGTATATTTCTTGAAGTTTAATATTGTGTTTGTGATACTGAAGTATTTGCTTTAATTCTAAATAAAAATTTATATTTTACTTTTTATTGCTGGTTTAAGATGTTTAAGACTTGCACTCTAAAGAGATTTGGCTATGAAATTGCCCCAACCATGTGAATTAAAATTCTAGGTATGGAAAGGCTTGCTTGGGTCACTCATTGCTTCACGAGAACTTGTGGTGGTGATCTGTCAAGGCTGAAGTAATCTAGCAGTCCTGTTTAGAAACCTGCTCTTAGTGAAAGAATTGGCATGTTATCTGTTTCCACTGCTAATAAGGGGCAGATGGAGTTGAAGGTGGATCCCTGGTGTATGAATGTACCTCCCCTGTCATAAGTGTCTTATAGAATGCTTCAGGGCATGTATTAGATAAAACTAATGGTAAGTGAGATGCTCAGAGAAGTACAGATGTGTGTATCTTGAAGTCACCATATGTAAGGATCAAATAAGCAGTTCTGGTATCTGAAGTCACTTGTAGCAGTGAGCAGCTATGCTAGTGTGTGCTAAACTTTCCAACAAGATGACTCAATGACAAGATCGTTGGCTGTGGTTCCATTAAGGCCTCTGACGCTTGTATTGGCAAAGAAGTATTGTCTAGGTTAGGCAGCCTCTGGAACTGGAGACAAAAATCTCACAGGGAGAACAGATTTGAGTTGAAGGGGAAGGGCAGGAATCCTCGATGCTTGTTGGACTGCACAGGCATGCCTGAGTTAAAATTTGGGATACTGATAGAAACAAAATGTGTGCTTGCGTGTTGCTAGTCCTACTGAAAGCTGTGTAGGAATACTGGTGTCTCAGACCTGAGATCTGCCTAGCCCAGTGCTGTTTTCTATGCTGGCTGTCTGCTTGCTTCCAAGGTAAGGGCCATGTAATGCTGGCAGGTCTCTGAAGAGATTCTTTCTGATTTGCTGAAGAACCCTGCTCAAGGCATTATATTTCAAAGCTTTTCTTAATACTTGGGTGACTTTGGAGGTTTGTCTAACACCTTCTGAGCCCCTTAACTTTGCCTCTCTAAAAGCTTGTAGCAGTGAGTTCTGCAGATGAATTTCTGCTGGATCTAAGGCTATTTCATCAGGTTTGAAATGCACCATTGTTAGGCTGTGAGTCAGCATAAATACAAGCACATGACCTTCACCAAAGTGTGCGCTTCTTTCAGTGGCTTGACATCCATCCAGAGCTTGGCTTTGGAAACCCATGGTCTATCTTGGAGCTCTGTATCAATGAATCCATTGGGGATGCTTTTTTGGGGTGATCGTTAGGCTGCTGAGGCAGCTGGTCTTGCTAAACAATGCTGGAATGGTGTAGAGTATGTTTAAACCGTAACCCCTTAAAATCTGTTCTTAAAGAAGCAGCAGTGAATGTCCGTTAATTGTAACTGCCATCCCTGCTACAACCCCAGGTCTAAGAAGCTTAAAAGGCAGAGGGTGCTACCTCCCAGGGGACGTGCTAAATTAGCAACACAGCAAAAAAGGATCTTTTTAAAGGGGCTTCAGCTATGTATCTGAACCTTCCGCTATCAAGTCAAGCCTTGCCAATCTCCCCTCCCCAGCTAGGGCAGCGCTCTCTGTTCCTTGAGTTTCTGCATACAGCACGTAGCACAACAGCAGCCTGAGCACGGACCAAGGCTCTTGACTACAGCGTGATCCAGTTAATAGAAGCAGGCCTTTTGCCAAGATGTTGTGGCTTTATAATCATGCCCTTCCTGTACCTTTGTTTTTAAGCTGTGAGCTTGGCAGTTCTTGGTGTACAAAAGGCCAGCAAAGAGGAGGTGGGCATGAGTCTGGAATGGGTGTTTTTGTTTTTGCTTTTGCTAAGCGTGCTACCCCAGGCCTGAAGTTCATAAACTGTTTCTCTAGAGAAATGGTATTTTTCTCTGATTCTGCTGTTGCAGGCACGCTGCATCTGTGGTGGTGTCTGCTTTCTGCAGGGGTGTGTAAGTATGGAAACACAAGTTGTGCTGCCTTGGAGGCCGTGGTCCCCTATAAACTTTCTCCTTGGGTGCTCTGTATCCCATCTGGCGAGTGGGGATTGTAGGACCTGTCTTGCAAGAGAGGCAAAGTAAGCATATTTGAGTGCGAGGTGATCACCTAAAGGTGATGGTCAGATGGAAACCAAAAATGGAGATGCAGGTGGTGGTTCTTGGAGGTGGCACAGATTCTCGCTGGCCTGGCTCCAGGACACGCTGGGGCTGGAACAGGCTTGCAGGTGCCAGCCTGTGCCTTGGTCCCAGCAGAAGCAGGTTTTTTCCTTGCTGCTCCGAGATCAGATGCCCAAACAAGCCATGTTGGTGTAGCTGCTGCTAGGGCCAGGTGTTTTACTGCCATCTTGTAGCCATGCAAGATACTGCAGGAGACGTCGTGTGGACAAGGTTGCGCTAAATCTGCGGCGCTGCAAGCCGGCGCCTTACTCCTGCTTCAAACCCAGACAATCTTTTCTGGACCTTTTAGATCCAAAAGCCCATACAGGGGCTAACCTCTGAACAGTTTTTGGAAACCTGCTTAGGTGAGGATGTCAGGATTTCTGTGGCTGGGGAGCGTGCCTGCACGCACATGCTCCCTGTGCTTATTTGTTCCTCTTCCTCTTTGAAACTCAGCTGGGGAGATCATGCGATAGATCAGGAACAAATCGACTTTCTACAGTGCTGCAAACATGACTAGCCTGAGCCTCTACCCTCAGGGCCAGCCTTTTCGTTGCATGGAGTTCAGCAGTTATTTTTCCAGGAGGGTCTGTTCCTGTAAAACTGTGGTGTTGCATAAGCTTAGCCGCATGGCAGGCAATACTGAGCATGGTACTCACCAAGGTGGGCTCTGCTGAGAGCCCTGATCTCCAGAGACACTGCAGCTGCGAGTCGTCCAGTCTATTTCCATCTCTGCTCCATGGGGTGACCTGGGCAAAGGCGGTCTCACCTCTCTTTGATGGCTGTTTTAGCTTTAGTTTGGAAGCCGTTCAGGGCAGGAACAGTCCCCCACTGTGTGTCTGCAGAACCTCGTACAAAGGGGCTGTGATCTCAGCTGGGTCTTTGGCCCTGCTGTAACCCAGATAATGAGGCTGCTGTCTTCCCGTGCTGAAGGCAGAGAGAGACAGAGCCTGCCTTAAGGGCCATGAGGCAATGGTCACATGGAGCTGATGGAGATAGGAGCATATTTCTGCTGTGCCAGGCTAGCAGAAAGCAATGCTTCCCCTGGGAAAAGCAGCGCGCTTATCGGACAGGGCAGGAGGTGGAAACCCACTGTTTGGGGTAGCTGGTAGAGCTCATCTCTGTGGTATCGTTTTTTTGGGGTCATGCCGCACTTTGCCAGCATTTCTTCAAGTTTGAGGACTTCTAAGTGGAATCCTCCCAGATCCAACCATGCCCTCGGCTCGACTGTCCTGTCGTTGCCCACATCATGGGAATGGAGAGGCTAACCCAGCGGGGAACGCTTGGAGGGTCCATTTTACTGCTTGCATAGCCCACAACTGCTTGCCGCTCTCAGAGTGGCAGCTCAGAGTGGATTAATAGTTGCTGTGTATAAATTGCCCGAGTGGAGCTTTGCACAGCACTCCTCCCTCTGCAAAGGCAACTGCAGAAACTGGGCCAATCGGCCAGCATCCAAGCAGCGATCAAAATGCAGATCCCGCGTGGTACTGAGCAGCTATAACTTATATGACCTTTCCTTGAGATATGCCCCCTCGAGGGCCCTGGGACAGAGGTGTGGATCTCATTAGAGGTCTTTTTATACAGAAAATTAATTTGTTGCAAGCTGCACTCAGCTGACTCACTGACTGAGTCAATGTGGAAGCATCTTGCAGGCAAAAAGAACTTCCCAGAAAACCTCCAGTGAGCTTGGTTCGGAGTGTTGCATCACAGGCTGCAAAGCTGGCTGAAGGTCTCAATACCGAGGAAATACATGCCGCAAAGTCCAGGGCTGTGGGGAGCGATGTGCAAGTTCCAAAATGGGCCTCTGGGTCCCTCACAACGCTAACCCTGCTCTTCCAGCCCCGGGTGTTATAGCCAGACCTTTGGAGACATTGTGCAAGATCCTAGCATTAGGATCCAGCATTAGGTTGTCCTACTGCCTGGGTTGAGGACTCACCAGCTTGAGGACTCTCTAAAATTTTACGTAATGGATTGCACCATGGAGACTGCTGTGCAGACAGAGAGATGCAGGACACCCAGGTGCTGGGTTTGCAGTGTCTCGTTCATAACAGACCCCTCAAAAAGATTAGATGACTTACCTGTGAGTGTATCTTGGACCTGTCTCGGGCTCATCCACAGACCGACGCTCCAGGCCAATTCCTCTGGGTGCAGCAGCTGTAAACTGACCTGTACTGTTTACTCTATGCTATCAGCGCTAATCTAGCTCGTCACCACAGAGCGGTGAAGCTTGGCTTTGTATTTCTCCCTGGGTACATTATAAGGGTGTGTAATGCTGTAAAAGAAGCACATAAAAGACCAGTATTTAAGAGACTCACATCTGAGTTTTATTGAAGCTGTGTGGCTGGTGTATTTCCCTCTTGGAAATGTCATTTATATTTGCGACAGTGCCACAAACTCTTTCTATAGAGTGAGGCTAGGAATGCCTTAAGGTGAACTGTAATAGTTGCCATTGTATTGTTTAAAACAGAGCATCATCTCAGGTGAAGCAGGAGGAGGGGTCTGAAGGACTAGGATTTTTTTTTGTCTGGAGGCTAAGCCCTGTAAACCCCATTCAGGATAATCAGCCCCTTAACTGGCACTTGATCCTGTGGCTTCCATCAAGGCACCTCTTCTGAGATGCTCCAATGAACTGGATTCATATCCTCAAATGAAAATTGTCTGAAGGAGCAAAAATACATCCCGCATTGTGGGAGTTCCTTCCAAGGTAACATAGGGTAGGAATTTGGTCCCAGCTTACTTAGGATTGTCATTAATGAGCTATAGAAGAAGCAGCATCCCAGTGCAGAGCTTTAGAAAAAGAGTTTTCCCAGCCAAGCTACCAGGATTAGCTTTGGTTTCTTGTGGGAGAGGGAGGTTGGCAGATTTGGCCAGGTCACCCATTCTCCATGGGCTCTTGGCTTCCAGGAGGCCTCTTGGGCAGGTTGAGCTTTAGCTTGTCTTTGGGTAACCCTCAGCAGGATCTCCCAAGCACATAACATCTTCAGCCTCAGTGTTCAGTGAACTGCCTGGTCTTCTGACTCCGATGACTCCATCTCTTCTTCAGCAGAGTGAGAGGATGAAGGGGATGAAAGTCTCCAAGAGTTCGATGCATAAACCCTCCAGGCTTCAGGGAATGTAGAGAGCCTGGGTTGCTTGGTAGACCGTGTGTTCAGTGGCCTCTTTAAAGTACTGGCAGCACAGCCAATCCTCAAGGCTGGGACTTCCTCCAGCCCCAGCCATCTTCTCTGCAAACTTTAGCAGTAGCAGAGCCCTCTTGACATCCATCCAGCTCTGGAGCAAGGCAAGTGTCTTCTTGCTCCTGGCAAAGAGCTCCTGGCGAGGCCCCCAGAGCAGGACCTGCAGGATGCTCTTTGCCTGTTCAACAGAGACCATCTTGCAGGGTTCTCTGTGAAGAAGCAACATGGCCAAACGCTTAAGTCCTGTGGAATAGATAGACAGGGATGGGATTTCAGGAAGCCTATTCCTTCTGAGGCCCAAGGCATTTTCCAAGGAGATGTCCACATGCAAGAGTGTATAGATCAGCATGCCTATATTCAGCTCATCTGCCACTGGGGAGAGAGGTGCAGAAAACCCTTTGGTCCAGTCTTGCTCTTGGGTTGTAGAAGTAGGTCTTTTCTTTTCTTTAGCTTTGAAGAAGTTACTGATGAGTAGCCTTGGAAGGGAGAGCCCCAGGGATGTCTCTTTGCCTTGCTGGCTCAGGGGAGGACAAGGGCACTGCACTAACAGCAGGTTCTCTGGGCAGATGTCTCCCTGACCAGCGTTCTGCATTTTGAGGTGCTCCAGCCCTGTGCACACCTGCAGAAGGAGGAGGCAAGCCAGGCGTTCATAGTGACCGGGGCTGGCCCTGTGCACGTCGTGAGATTCCTTTACAAAGTCTGCCAGGGTCTGGTAGGGAACCTCAGGAGAAATGAGAACCTGCAGGACAGGAGGGGAGCCAAAGAGGGCTGTGTCCTCTTCTCTGGACAGAGACTGTCTGTGCTTCCTGGGGTTTCTTGGGAGTGCAAGCTCCTGAGGGAGGGAGTCAGTGAAGTGGCCGATCACTCGCTGTATGCTACAGTGCACCCCGAGGGAGGTCTGCACGGCCAGGCTGCAGGAGCGGGACTTGAGGACCTGTTAGGAGAAGAGACATGGCTTGGCCAGCTGCACGAGGACAAAAACAATGGGTCAGCCAGTGCCTTGTTCTGGTCCAGGCCACAAGCTCAGCTCAGCGCCACCAGGCCTGCCTGGGACAGGTTCTGCATAGGTTACTGGGAGACAGCAGTACCATTGCGTCCTTTGGCAACTACTGGGAGGGGAAGTGATGAGGAATGGACAAGCCACGCACAGCACTGGGCTCTCTCCTTGCACCCGTTCAGCCCATCGATGCCTGCTGAAACACGTCCCTGCCCTAGAATGGCTTTGAGCAAGGAGTGGGATGGGAAGGGGGAGGTTCGTCACTCCAGCCCAGCTCAAGAGGGCTGGAAAACTGCTGCGTGAGGTCTGATCCTGCACTACCAGGGAAGTCAGCTCCACTCCAGCTTCTGCTTTATGTCCACTGACCCACTGAGACCTCTCAGCAGGTCATTTTCCCTAATATTTCCAGGTAGAAGCATCCCTGGACAGGCTGCTAGCTACAAAACCATGCAGGGAGCCATCTCCCCCACCCCTCTGTGACATATCAGCAGGGTCTTTGTTAGGAAATGAAGAAATAGGTGCTAGAAGGGGAAGTGCCTGCTGTAACAGTGAGTCAGTGAAAAAGCCAGTGCTCCTGACTCTCATTTCATGCTCATTTGAAGCATCACAACCCCCCCGCCCGCCCCGTGCACTGTGGGAGTGGATTCCCTCCTGACGGTGAATAGTCCTGAACAGGGCAGAGGCAGGACTGAGCTGAACTATTTCAGGCTCTTTCTCTGATTTCTGTGCTTACCTTGGCTGCAAATACCAGCTGGGCTTGTTCAAAGGCAAAGCCGACTCGGAAGTACCAGGCATCCCCTGATTCACAACATGGGTCCTTCTCCAGGATCTTGAGATCTGCCCATTTCTTCCCTGCCAGCTCTGCTCCCAACAGCTGCTGCCAGTCCTCCTTCCCCAGGAGATCCTCCTGGATGTGGGCTGAGAGCCGGGCCAGAGATGCCCACTGGCACCCCACCACCACCTCGCACACCTTAGCTCTGCTCTCCAGGGCCTGAAAGAGGTGTCCAAGCTCCCCGTCAGGGGTCATGAACGTCAGCTCCGCTGGGCTGGGCGATGGTGCCAGGTTGCCTTTCTGCAGGCTGCTCTGGGCCACAGGTGCCCCCAGGCTTTGGGACTTGGTCAGGGGCCTTTTGGGTCCCCAGCAAGGTCTATCCCGTGGTGGGCTGGAGCTGGCAGCCCCCTCCTCACACCTCGGATGGGCTGGCAGGATGCTGTAGAGGATGCTACTGGTGTGCGGCAGGGTGTCATCCCGACAGTGACGGGCCAGCCCCTGCTCTGGGGGGGGCTCGGCTCCCTCGGGCTGGCT